AATGTTAAAATACACGTGGCACAAATGTTTTTGGCTCTCAGAAGTCAATCTGCAGATCAACCACTCCTTTGGACTTAATAACATTTTATTTATTTAGTTATTTATTATTATTTTTTTATACCTTTATTGATTTCAGAGAGAGGAAGGCAGAGGGAGAGAGAGAGAGAAACATCAATGATAAGAGTCATTGATCAGCTGCCTCCTGCTCGCCCCCTGCTGGGGATCAAGGAGCCTGCACCCCGGGCCTGTGCCCTGACCGGGAATCGAACCCCGATCACCTGGATCCTAGGTCGATGCTCAACCGCTGAGCCACGCTGGCCGGGCTTACTAACATTTTTAAAGTGATAATATTCAATATTCCCTCTGACCAGTCTCCTCAAACATCCAAAGTTACCCAAGCTCTGTGGGCTGAGGGGTGTGGGGATGTGGCTCCCTCTGGGGGCGGCCAAGTCCAACTCGGGTCCCTCGTCTCTCCTGGGGTGACGGATGCCCCTGGCCGAGCCTAAGAGGCGAGGACCCTCTGCAGCAACCGGCCGACTCTGGGCCGATGGCTAAAAATCAGAGTGCCTTTCAGTCGGGCGTCTTACCTCCTCGGGGAACTCAAAAGTGAGGCGTCGGGCACGTGGCTGCCCCACTGTGTCGTTTTTCTAGGCCTACATTCTAGTCACCAGTCAGGGACAGGGGGAAAGAGCCCCAAGGCAGGAAAGCTAAGAGATCCAGTGTCTCCCAGGGGCAGGGATACTTACTGCCCCGGCGGATGTTGATTAGCAAATTGCCCTTGAAGATGGTGCAGCCCTGGAGCATCTGAGCCGAGGTCACCGAGTCGATGGTCTTGGTTCTCTTTTCCTCCTCGCAGACTTTGGGGCAAGGACCCTCACAGGGGACGCAGAACATGCTGTTGGAGATAACCGAGCACAAACACGGGCGTCAGAGTGCCGAGGAGAAGAGGCTGCTGTCGGGTGTCACGGCTCCTGCCTGGCATCCCCCCCCCGGGGGGCTGCACAGGGCAGCAAAGGGACAGTGGAAGGAGCCCAACTCCTGCAGCCGGCGCCCAGCAAAGCCTGGCGAGGGGTCCCCAAGGGCACGCGGCATTGCCCACATCCATTATCTTCGATATTACTTGACAGTGCTTTGCAGAAACTTGTAAATTGACCCAAATGTTGTTTTCGCTGCACACACAATAAAAGCAGGGGGACTTCCACTGCTCTGTCACGAGCTCCCATTTCAAACGCGCTCCTGAACGCGCCACAAACCACCTGACAGTGGGGGAGGCAGGGGGGCTGGCACTCTCCCCGCTGACCCGCCATTGCTTTTTTTAAAAAATATATCTTTATTGATTTTAGAGAGAGGAAAGGAGAGGGAGAGAAAGAGAAACATCAATGATGAGAGAGTCATTGTGCCCTGACCGGGAATCGAACCCCGATCGCCTGGATCCTAGGTGGACGCTCAGCCGCTGAGCCGCGCCCAGCCGGGCATGACCCACCACTGCTTAGGAAACAGCGAGCAAAGCGCTCATCCAGCTGCCGAGCCACAGAGCCGGGATCAGAATATCTGAGTTGATTTCCAAACAAGACAAACGATACGATGTTACGGGGTGTGCAAATCACAGGATGGTGAGCGGGAGAGCCATTAGGTTGATAAGATGAAGTTTAAAAGATCATCCAGTAACCTTTTAAACTTCACCAAGATAAGTACAAAAAAAAACCAACATTCATGATTGCGGTGTAAGCAACAGCTCTTCTCCTTAACGTCTTCTGTTCCCCTGGAATTTTACTGCGTGTCTAAGGCGAAGATGCAGGGTCGTGTTTTGCGTAGAAGGTTACAGGTAAACAAAATTTCCCTGGCAGTGTTTCCGAGGGAGGGTGCTGGGCCAACCGGAGGAAGGATTCTCCTGCCTCTTTCGCGTGCAACGTTCTCCTTTCAGACGTGGGTAACAGCTACTTTCGGTTACTGTCCCTTCAGCGCTTTTTGTTGGTGTTTTATTGCTTCTAACTCACCTGCATACCGGCCCCACCCTGTCCCTTTCAAAAAGCTCTCTGTTTTGAAGGAATCATCGATTCCCCAAAAGTTGCAAAGACTCCCATGTACCCTTCACCCAGTTTCCCTCAAGTCTAATAACACAGTATCGGAACCAGGCCATCGGCCCTGCTACAATGCATGTGCGTAATTCTACATCACGTCCTTAACTCTTCCCTGGCAACGACTGCTCTGTTCTCTATAATCTGTCATCTTGAGAACGTAATATACATGGAATTATACAGTATGTGACCTTCTGAGATTAGCGTCATATCCCTGAGTGTAATGCCCTGGAGATCCACCCAAGCAGTCGTGTATTTCAATACTTTGTTCCTGTTAGTTGCTGAATAATATTCCCTGATGTGGACATACCACAGTGTGTTTAACCATTCATCTATTATGAGACCCCTGAGTGGTTTCCAGTCTCGGGGGCTAGTTATTATAAATAAAGCTGCTATGAACAACTTCATAGATGTTTTTTGTGTGGAATCAGTGTTCATTTTTGTGGGATAAATGCCCAGGAGTGTAACTTCTGGGTCATGTATGGATGTTTAGTTGCCCACAATATTACATTCAAATAGCAATTTCTGAACCAAATGCTTTTGGTAAAACATTTAGGATATTGTATGTCAACTGTAGCTGAAAAATATGTATTTTTTTAAAGATTATAAAAAAATAATAAAATAAATGCTTTGGAAAGAAAAAAAAGTCTAGGAATCATGCAGCACTTTAAAATGCTTTTCTACGGAAGAGCCATGATTATATGTTTATAGATTAAGCTTTCTCAAATCCATTCTAGTTCAGAGAGGGGATACACTATTAAAAATGCTTTAAACTAAGTGTTACATGGGTTTTAAAGGCTGAGGGGAGTTATTCTTTCCTGATGGTGTTTTATTTTACAATGGAAAAGCTATACCTGTGGCACTGAGCAGATGGCAAGAATGGGTAGGGAAATAACGGCTCAGTTCTTTGAAGGACGCACTGCAGTGGGAGAAACACCACCACGGAAATTCAGTGCCTTTAGTTTGCCAGCCACATCCCAGGGAAGTGCAGCCACAGACAAGGATGGTTTGACCCCTGCTCAGGGACCAGCGGCCCATCTCTGACCCCACCCCCAGAAGGAACTGCGGCCGAGTCTTGTCTGGCCCCGGGCACTGCCCAGGGTACTGGCAAAGTCCTTTTACATTCTAAGGCGGCCAATAACATAGGAGTAAAGTGTGGTTTTTTTAAAAAAGATAAACCAACAAGTCCCATTGGCACACACAGAGGGACGCCTGTTGCTCTAAGGATCTTTTCTGCTTCCTAAGTGAAGTCCTAACGTTTAGGAGGGACGCAGAGAAAAGCGGAGGGGAGGGAGCGAGGCTGGTGAGAAGGTGCTGATGGGATCTGTAGGCTCTTTGAAGCCACTGCGTACTCTCAGCAGCTGCTAGTCCAGACCCCGGGCGAGTGCTTGTGCTAAAGAGGGTTTCGGGCCTGCTCGCGGCCTCAGGATGCCGGTGGGCTTGTCCTCTCCCTGCACCCCCACGGCCCGCACTGGGCCAGCGCTGCACAGCACAGGCTGGGAAAACCTAAATCTGCAGCCCACCTGCCTGGACGGCAGCCCGGCAGGCAAGTGCTCAGGGAGACAGCGACCTGTGGGTACCTGAGCCAGTGAGGCAGGTACTGGGCTGCAACGGGCCAGGCTGTCCCCTCCCAAAACAAAATGTAAAACAAACCAGAAAAAACAGAAGTGCCAACTGCTCCTAGACTCCCATTAAAGGTGAACATAGGACCAGCCCTCTCAGGTGGGCCCATCCCTTACCCTCCCAGGGTCCCACCCAGATGGAACAACGGGCAGAGCCTCCTGTTGGCCGGGGGCCGTGACCACCAGGCCCCTCCCGAGACTGACCTCTCGCTGTCGTTGCGGATGAAGCCTGAGGGGCACTCCTGCATGCATTCCCCGTCGTGGATCACGAAGCCCTCCACGTCGGCGCCCTCGGCGTTGGGGATGTTGGCACAGAAGTCGCGGTCCACGCAGCGCCAGCCCTCGAAGCGGTAGGTGTTGGGTGGGCAGCTGGGTACACAGACGCCCTCAAAGTAGTAGTGTCGGCAGGCCACGCAGGCTGCGTCGTCGTCGGGGGCATTGCAGCTGCCCAGGCACTCGGGGTGGCAGCATTCGTTGTTCTCGGTGCACGCTCGCTTCCCGCACGCGCTCGGGCACGCTGTGGGCAGAGGGGACAGATGTTGAGCACACACCCAGGCACAGCATGGGGCAGAGGGGACAGGGGTGAGGCTGGCTGGAGCTGGTCACCCTCCTCTGGGCCTGGACAGCATTGCTCTGGGTCATCCCCTACCTGACGGCTCCAAAGGCCAAAACCAAACCAGCCAACCACATCTGAATCCAGAAACGGAAAACCACTGGGCCCTGCGTCCCACTAGATGCGCAACGACAGGGCCACAGGCCACACTCAGGCTCTCAGAGGCAGGGAGAACATCTCCTGCGTTTCGAGTCAGGAGAGCAGGCTTGAGGTCAAGTCCGGCCTCTGCTGTTGACTGGCGGTTGGGTCCTGGACGAGCCACTGGTTTCTATGACCTGGTCCCTCTCTCTTCTCCTCTCTAACACGGGGTAAGCTGCCCGAGGCGCCCATGATGACGCAGTAAGTAGCCCCATGCGAACAAGACGGTTTATTCTGACTTTAAAAGGCGTCATGCTCTGCTCGGTAGGATTATGAACATGCCCCTCACTGAAATAGCCTGAAGAGCCTTAGTGAGCACTAACGCTCGATGATTTTAAAGAGACAATGTCATGCGCATCTACAGAACGCTATAGAAAAGTTCATGTCTGCTCGTATCGTTATCAAAGCTCTTACAATTTAAATAAAATGCCACGGAAAATGACTGGTAGCAGACGCTACTATAAAACAGCGGGTCATGGAACACCAAACACTCAGGAGCAGAAAAAGAACAGAAAAGGGCCTGGCTGGGATGGCTCAGTGGTTAAGCATCATTTCGTGCACTGAGAGGTTGCGGGTTCGATTCCCGGGCAGAGCACATGCCCAGGATGCAGGCTCGATCCCCAGTAGGGGGCGAGCAAGAGGCAACAGATTGATGTTTTCTGTCTTCCTCTCCTTTCCACTCTCTCTAAAATCAATAAAAAGATTTAAATAAAACAATAAAAGAGCAGTAAAAAATGTCTGTATGCAGTTGCTTGGAGTCAAGTTATACTCAAATGCAAATGCTGGGCATTTCTAGCATGAGAAAAATAATAAATCAGAGTTCTGTTTCACTGATGGGAGCTACCTCCGAAGGAATTCCAGCACAGCTTAAATTTGGGAAAATCAGGTCGTTCAGAGACAGAACAATTCCCCTTGAAGGGATCACAAATCATGGATCTCCTTTATGACACCTGACACAAACTGTACACAAATACCCCGGGGATAAAAGGTGATTGGGGACAGGGAGGAGCTCCCAAGGAGAGGTGACTTGTCCAGTAACGGACAAAGTCTGGCCACTCAGGGTTGGAAACCAGCGTGCCCCTGGCTGCAGACCAGCCTGAGAGGATCTGGAAGGCAGGCAGGAGAACACGCAGAAGTCCGGGATTAGCGAGCCCTGGAGCCAGCCCCAGGAGCCTGCTGTAAATTTTGTCTCTTCGTAATGTATATAAATATTATTAGCGTTCAGAACTATTAAGGGATTTCTTGAAAAGCCCCGGCCACTGTCTCGCCTGCAGATGGATGGATGCTCCCTATGAATGCCAAAGCTTTAAATGTAGTACAGTTACCAAATTTCCAATTACGGAGCACTGGGAGAAAGGAAGGGAGCCTCTTCTCTGGCTTCCACGCAGAAGGAGCGCACCTAGCGGGGTCAAAGGCATGTCTGCTTTTAAAGATAAAAGGGGAATGAAAGCTGCCACAAACTAATAAACATACAGGGGGGAAAGGCAAATTGATTTTTGCCCGCGAAATCTTTCTATTCATTGGAATCCTTACAGTGGCCAACAATAAAAACAAAAGCCTATCTAAACTGCTGGAAAAGCAAATGGCACGTCCCACATCCATCCCTAAAAGGACTGGTTTGGGGTCACAGTCACATGAAAATAAGGCATTGTATTAAAAGCTCATTTTTCTCCCATTTGGGGGACAGGAAAAAGTCACACACATCAGCTGTTAACTCTCTCCCTCTCTGAAGTCCTCACATCTATTAAATTCTTTCTAGTTTTTTTTTGGTGTTTTTTTTTTTGTTTTTTTTGTTTTTTGCCAGGAAGCTCCTTCACAATGTTGACCTCAGAGAAACCATTTTAAGAAACATATGATAATAAATTGCTTCCATAAAACAACATGGAGAACTCAACCTTTTCACGAGGGAACAAAAAGTAGAAAAGAGATCACTTAGCCACGTAACTTTTAAAAATGGAAAAAATTTTCTCCCAAATCATTTCTGAAGGATGGAACTAGTTCATGGATGTCCAGATGAGGTCACACTTCCGCGTCAAAATACAGACTAGTTGAGGGACATCTCAGTTATTCCTGGGTGACCCCAGGTGACACGCCACTGTTTCCCATAGAACGAGGGACACCATTCCTAACAGACGCACATCATTAGGAATACAGGTGAATCGAACCGCTGTTAACTCAAGTGCATCGGGGAGACACGGGGACCAGAGAAATGTCAGGGTTTTCATGACTTGCCAGGAGAGGAGTGGACTCCATCAAGCACCATGGGGAAGGGACTGGATGGATGACAGGGACCCCAGCTGAGTCAACCGAACACCCGAGTCCCCCCAAGGCTGTTGGCACTGCCCCCCTTCAGAGACCACTCAGCCACAAGTGAAGGGATGAGAAAGGTCCTTTCGACGATTAAATGCATCGGTCCTAGCAGCCAGGTCCCCGGCTCGGTCCTGCAGACAAGGCAGGTACAAGACCGCTCCGCCCTCCCTGGGTCGTCCCCTGAGGACAAGCGCTGAGAGTGCCAAGAGGGGCCAGCGAAGGGCCATGAGGAGGGCTTTCCAGGGGAAGGGACTGCAGGCCTGAGGTCTGGTGACCCCACGGCCTTCCCGCCAGTTGGCTGAATTTTCCAGTTCAGACAGAAAGGTGACCCATCCGTAGAAGCCACGAAGACTACAGAGGAGCTCAGGGTGTGGGCAGGGAGCCCACAGCCGGCACGGAGGCTCTCGCCCTGTAAAATCATCTTCAGTCTGTCCTTCCTTCTGTCCTAAAGTCCCCGCTCCTCCCCACGGGATCAGCCCAAGCACAGGCATCTATCACAGCGAGCAGAGTGGTGAGGGCCACCAGAGCTTCCCGGCCCCCGGCAGTGGGGCTATATCTCATCTGGGCTTATCGGTGCCGCGTTCTCGGAGTCAGGCAGCCAGGATGAAAAAGCAGGTTTACGGGGAAGGTGTTTAGATCCATGGAATAAACCGAAAATAAACCTGGTACAGCACATACACACACACTCAAAAACTGGGCATATATATACACACAGTAAAGCACAGCTTTCTGAGAAGGAAGACAAGATGAAACGGTCAAGTTTCTTGCCATCCTGACACACGGCTAATGGGAAAGTGCCCAGGACCACCGCCCAGAAATCCCAGGGAGAGTTTAAGACAACTGCCACAGGGGCCTGAGCCACAGCGCCGGATCCAGGTCAGTTACTGTATCAGTTACTGTATCTTAAACGTTCACAAAAGAAAATCACATTCGCAACAATGTTTCTCTTCTCAATGACTAAAGAAAACACCTCCTGGGAGGGCGTGGTGGTGATGGACACATTCCACCTGAGCCAGAAAAGATACATTTCAATGGTTAGAATGGAAGTCACTGGAGTTCCTCTGTTGGAACCGAAAGTATTCAGCAGGCGCGCTGAAGGTCAGGAGAAGCAGAGCTGGGGCAGCGCCCGGAAGCCCGAGGAAGGGCCTGGAACAGAGAACTCGCAACATCGTGGACTGCAAGCAGGGTGCTCANTGGGGCAGCGCCCGGAAGCCCGAGGAAGGGCCTGGAACAGAGAACTCGCAGCGAGCACAGAGAACCTGCCAGCGATGGGCCGGGATGGGCCGGGCTGGGCCGGGCCATGGCTTCTGGACCGGTGAGCCTAGGAATTTTTGAGCGTAATGAGCCTGAAAGCTCTCATTTTCTCCCAAGTTCAGCGAGTAGGAAGCAGCTCCTCCGTGCAACCTTTGAAAGCATTTTCAAAACTTGGTTTTGGCCCGGCCGGGAGTGGCTCAGCAGTTGAGCGTCGACCTGGGA